GTTTTTTTCCCAGAGTTTTCTTTCTAGCACCCTGAGCTCATGTTTTATGTTTTACTTTTAATTCTAATTTCTCACTTTTAAAGGTCATAGTAATGTAACTTAATACTACATGTACTATTTGAAACCTGATTATTGAATTACCTGTAGAATTAAAACTAAATTTTTACGATTGAGGAAATATTTAAACATGATGTGTTCTTACAGTTGCTCTGTAGTATTTCTACTTTTTAAAATTTTTTGTTTTAAATGAACTGTTTCTCCTCCTAGTTTTAGTGTAGAAGAGTTAGTAGGATATACAAGAATGGCTTTGAACTGTGAAGTATGCATGTTTTTGTGCTAGTAAAAAAATACTTTCTTGGATCAGTTTCCAACACACGTGTAGAAAGGTTAAGGGTACAGGAACCAGCAGTTAGTGTAATGGCTATGTCCCTGGACTCCCACGTAGTCGACCGCGGTTCACATCCCAGACCCAGTGACTTAAAACTCACGCCGGGTGCGTGTGCGTGCGTGCCCAAGATCCCAAGAGGAGAATAGAGGAGAAGGGATTGCAGCGTGACCATCCCCCCTGGGGGGTGATTTCTCGCTTTCTGTCTGTATGTCTCTCTCACGAGCGCATGCGCCCTATAGCGAAAATCTCTCAAAAAAAAAAAAAAAAAGGTTAAGGGTGAAAAATCATTTTAAAAGAAAAGGGAAAAGAATATTGGTTTTATGTTCAAAGTGCTCATGCCATCTTCATTTAAAAAAAAAAAAAAAAGCATCTGGGACCAGCGGGTGTCACGGTGATTAAAGCACTGGACTCCCACATGGCCAACCATGGTTCAGGTCTTGGATCTAGCAGCTTTAAAATCATGCTGGGCGAATATGTGCAAATGCCCAAAATTCCAGGAGGATAATAAAAGAAAAGAGATTGCACTGTGGCCATCCTCTCAAGGGGAGATTTCTAACTTTTCCTCTCTGTCTTTCTCCAGTGAGTACATGCCCTATGGCAGGAAAATAAACCCCCACCCCCCCACCTATCTTTCTCACCCCCAAATCTTAGAATTTCCTCTGACTTTTTTTTGGTTTTGTTTGTTTTTGCTACAGGATGTGTGCGCTCACCAGAAAGAGACGGGGAGTTGGGGAAAATGAAAAATCACCTCCCAGGACAGATGGCCACACCACAATCCCTTCTACGTTCTCTCAGGATTTGGGGCATGCACACGTGTTTGGTGATTTTTAAAACCACCAGGTTCAGGACTTGAACCACAGAGTTAGCTATGTGGACTCCGGCTGCTTTAATCTCCATGCCACTTCCTGACCCCTTTCTCTGAATTTCTATATCATATCTTTTCTATTTATTTAGTACTTATATGTTATCCTGTGACATTTTCCATCATTTTGACCTTTAAAAATATTTTTAAGAATGTGTTTTGTTTCTCTAGAGTTAAAACCCTCTGAAAACAAGAACTGTCACTTACTCTTTTTTTCTACTCAGTACCTAATGCACTGTCTTACACATAATCATTTGATAATAATAATGGTAACAAAAGTAAACACCCAGGGGGCTAGCAAGTGGCATTTTGGTTCAGGTGCTGAACTCCCACATGACTGAGTCCCAGACCCAGGGGCTTGAAAATCGCACCTGCATGTGTGCCCAAAATCCCAAGAGAACAGAGGAATTGGAATTGCAGTGTGTCCATTCCCCTGGGGGGTGACTTCTCACTTTCCCTCTGTCTGCCTTTCTCAGTAAGGGCACATGCCCTCTGGCAAAACCCAAAAAAAAAAAAAAGTGAAGACTAGACCATGTGCCAGGCACTGGTCTAAGTCTTATATTATTAATTCATTCAAAGCTTATAACAATTCTGTGAGATAAGTATTATTTTTTTCCCCACACTTTCAGATGAAGAAACTGAGGCACAGAAAAGTTACCTAACTTTTCCTAGGGAACATAGCTAGTTAATATTCAAGCCTTGCTAGTCTGGCTCCAGAATTCATGCTATTTACCACTACGTGTAAATCCTTGGTGGTTAGTAATCATGAAAATAATCATGTCACAGTGGCTGGCACACAGTTCTTACGATTAAGAGAGATGGGGTTGGAAAAGTAGCTAGAAATGCCTTGAATTGCTGGCCGAAGCTTAGGGTATTGGGAGGTTGGAGTACTTGCTTAGAAGATGGATCTGCGTCTACCTTTAGTCCTGACTCTAAAATGTAACACCTCATATGACTTGGATGATCACTTATTATGAAACCCAGACCCTTAAAGTGGAATGAGTAATTTGCCATCTCCTTCCATAGGTATGAGATAATGAAAATGAAAGCTTTTTTTTTTTTTTTTGTAGATTATAAAGTATTTTCTAAATCTAGGGAATTAACAAGGATGTGAAAGCACTATTTTTGGAAATGGGGGTGGGGGGTAGTCTATCCGTGCTTTAGAAAGAGTGATCAGCCATATTCAGAATATAATTGAGGAGTGGGTACAGGAATGATTGTAGGAAAATGGCAGTAAGGTTTCAGGCTGCTGTGGATTGAGACTGCAGAAAACTGAGCACACAGGGCTCCAGGCTTCTAGGTAAGGACAGAGTAGCTTTACTTCTTGCTTACCTATATTAGGAGTCTGAATATGGAAGACATGATTGGCTGCTCAAGTGAAAATACAGGACTCCATACTTGTATATCAGAAAGACCTGTCCTCAAGTTAGTTTTGCTGTTTTGGCAGTCTAAGCCTAAAGTTTCTCTTTTTCTCTGTGAATTTTATTTTCTGTTCTATCTTTAATGTGGCTATTTTTTTGGTATGCAATGAATTTAATTATTACTTCTGAATTTTTATAATGCATCATTTTGTATGTGAGATTACTAATCCACAGAATACACAAGTTTTGCATTAACAGTGTGACATTTTAAAAAAAAACAGCGTAACATGTTTAATATATTGGCCCTCTGGTTTGAGACAAAACATCAGTATCTGACACAAGGCATTGAATTTGGCCGAAGATCTTACAAGTGTAAGGTGAAGATGGTAAAGTACAGAGGATAACTTTTTTTTTTTTTTAATTTGCCAGAGAGTGCATATGCTCACCAGAGATAAAAAGGAAGAGGGAGAAAGCATGCCCCAGTCGGCCATAGTCACAGCAAAATCCTTTCTCCTCAATGTCTCCATCTTGTCAGGATTGTGAAGCATGCACACATATATGCCTAGTTTTTCAAACTGCTGGGGCTGGGATTCAAACCATGATTGGCCACATGGGGTCTGACTCCCATAACCACCAGGCCACAGAGCTGACTCCAGGAGAAGTAATTTTGTTTATTTCGCTAGAGAGAGACAGACATAGGGAAAGTGAGAAATCACCCTCCAGAGGGGCTGACCACGCCACAACCCCTATTTTTCCTGGGATTTTGGGCATGCACGTACTCAGGGCCAGCATGATTTTCAAGCTACCAAGTCCAAGGCTCGAATCACAGTTTGCCACGTAGAAGTCCAGCCCAGCTCTTTCACCAAGTGACCTGCTTGCATATATAACGCATATATAGGCATTTTTTTTTTCCCCAGGAGATACATGTGCTTGCCAGAGAGACAGAGAAGGAACAGAGAAGAAAGAAGAATGCCCTTAAGGGACTTGGTCACCTTGCCCCTGTCATTCCTCCATGTATCCTTCCTGTTGGGATTTGGGGCACATATACATGTACCTGGCATGTTTTTCAATCTGCAGAGGCTGCGTTTTGAACCAGAGTTGACCATGTAAGGTCTGGCTCCCTTAACCACAAAGGTACAGGCTGGCCTGCTGTGAACTTTTTGAAGACCCCCTTGTAGCTCACTGGGGAGATGCATCAGAATTACAAGACACAGAGTCTTAATTATATATTCCCAAAAGCTTAGAAACTGCCTTTAATGTCATCAGTGATAATAAACAATAGATACCGTTTATTGAGCAGGTAACTACATTGCTATGAATTTCTTTACATGTATCATGTAATCATCTCAGCAATCCTATGAAGATCGTATATGGCCCATTTAAGAATAAGAAACTTGGGCTCAGCAGGTGGTACGGTGCTGAATTCCCACATTGCCGGCATAGTTAAAGTACCAGACCTGATGGCTTAAAAAAAAAAAAAAAAATCACACTAGGTGTATGTGCATGCATGCCCAAAATCCTGAGAGGAAAAGGGATTGTGGCATGGCCATCCCCTCAGGGTGATTTCTCATTCTCCCTCTCTCAGGTGAGTGCACACACCCTATGGCAAAAACCTAAATATAGATATATAGATACAGATATATAGGTATACACCTATATCTATATATGTGTTAAGAAATTTTGGGGGACCAGCAGATACTGTAATGGTTATGTCACTGAACTCCCCATATAGTCGGCTGCGGTTCAAATCCCAGACCTAGTGGCTTAAAACTCAACACCAGGCGTATGTGCATATGTGCCCAAAATCTCTAGAGGAGATTAGAGAAAAGAGATTATAGCAGACCATCCCCGCAAGGGGTGCTTTCTCACTTTCTGATTCTGTGTCTCTTTGGTGAGTGCATGTGTCCTATAGCAAAAATCTCTCAAAAAAGAAACTTGGGGACCAGTAGATGGCATGGCAGTTACATTGCTGGACTCCCACATGGCTGACTGCAGTTTGAGTTCCAGACCTAGTAGCTTGAAATTCACGCCGGGCCCATGTGCATGTGCGCCCAAGATTCTAAAGTTTTCAGGGAAGTTCTCACCTCCTGGGTGGTGATTGCTCACTTTGTATCTCTGTCTCTCCAGCGAGTGCACATGCCCTGTAGCAAAAATCTCTCTTTAAAAAAAAAAGGAAAGAAAGAAACTTGACTAGGGCTGGTGGTTGAGGCACTGGACTCCCACATGGCCAACCGTGGTTCAAGTTCCAAACCTGGTGGCTTGCTTTTTCACTTTCTCTGTGCAAACTGAAAAGTAATAATAAATAAATAAAGTTAAAAAAAAAAGAAAAAAACTTGGGACCAGTAGTTAGCGTAATGGCTATGTCACTGGACTCTCATGTAGTCGACCACGGTTTGAGTCCCAGACCCTGTAACTTAAACTCACACCAGGCACGTGTGCATGCGTGCCAAAGATCCCGAGAGAAAAATGGAGGAGAAGGGATTACGGTGTGGCCATCCCCCCTGGGGAGTGATTTCTCACTTTCTGTCTCTCGGGCGAGCGCACACTCCCTATAGCAAAACCCTCTCAAAAAAAAAAAAAACAAAACTTGGCCAAAATAATTGGTTTTAGTAGTAGAGCAATATTCATATGTGCATCTGATTGATACCAAGGCCCATGTTTTTAACCTCTATGTTAATACTGACTCTGAATACCTGCTCGTGGTGGCGGACTTAGAAATATAGGAAGGGACTTCTTTTTTTTTTTTTTTTTTTTTTTTTTTTTTTTTTTTTTTACACATTTCATACTTGTAATCACTTGTCCCATTTTTCCTCCACAAGACTATAATGTTTATCTTTGGTCTTGCCCTGTCCTCTACTGGCTTAGTTCCTCATCTCTGTTTCCATGGCTCTTCGTGACAAAATCTCTCACTCTACCCGTCTGTTGTCCTCACCTCTCTCCATTCTGAGTAGACAGTGTCAGCTGCGTAATAGAAAGGATTCTGTCCGACTAATTTTTCTATCTCTGGTATTTACATAGCTCAAATTCTAATAAATAGTGCTAAAATAAGGATTGAATAGATAAAATTTCTGTGATTTTATAATTGAGCTATATTTATTATTAATGTTTTCTCTCTTCCTCATATAAATTTGGATTTATACTATGCAAACAGTTTTGTCTATGACCTTTTGCCTATGAACATTTTTCTAGATTATTATATATTCTTCCAAAAACATGTGGATTTTTGTTTTGGTTTTAATTCGACAGCATGTACAGTCACTAGAGAAATATCGAGAGAAGGAAGGCAAGAAAGCAGCCTCCATAGAGTGTGGTTATGCTGCTGTTCCTTCTCCATTTCTCCTTTTGGGGATTCTGGGCATGCGTGCACCCACACCCAGCATGTTTTCCAAGCCACTGAGTCTGGGACTCAAACCACACAGTTAAGAGGGATCCGGCCACATCGACCATCACACCACAAGCTATCCCCAAAACGTGGGTTTAAAAACCTTCATGAGAATGTCAGATAATACCTCCCCCTTAAAAATAATAAAATTCACCTGAGAAAATAAGAATTGCCCAAAATTTAAGACTAACTTAAGTAGATTTGGCCTTTTGTGTATTATTTTGTACTACAAGCCAAGTATGCTGGCTTGTATCTGTAGTTCAGCTGTCCTAGAGGCTGAAGCAGGAAGATCGTGAATTTGAGGCCAGCCTAGGTAACATAACAATGCCCTCTCTCTAATAAAAACAATAAATACTAAATAAAAATAAAATTTTCTACAGAGTTATATATTGCTATTTGGGGAATAGATCAATAAAATAGAAATCCCAAAGCAAACTGAAGCCTGTATGAAAAAAGTTGCATTATTTATTAGTAAAAAAAAAAAAAAGGTTAGTTTTTTTGTTTGTTTGTTTGTTTGTTTTCAATTAAGCAGTATAAATGAACCTGACTGTAAGCAGGCATTGGAAGAACGCATATAATAGTGTATGATACTCAGGGGAAAAAATAAGAGCTACGTATTTAGCTGGGGTAAAGTCAGTGTTTTTACCTTTTAAAATAAGTTGGTGATAGCTTCCTAAAGGAGGCATTTCAGTGTCTGCTAAAGTGAAAGAAAGGGATTTGGAAGTCTGAAGATTAGTTATTCAAAGCTTTATTATTTATTTAAAGCTTTATTTATTCATTCTACAAGAGAGAAAGAGAAACAGGCACCTGCAACAGAATCTTTATGCCACGTTCCTACCCCCAGCTTCAGCCAGCCAGGATCATGGGCCACATGTGCCTTGCCCAGTATACACAGGGAAACCTCAGGATATAAACCTCGGCCCTTTCTATATGGCCTCAGCATCATGGACTGTATTACTGCTGTGCCATTGCAACTGCCTGTAACTTATTTTTTAGAATAGGGTAATCAAAGATCTGAAAGTGTCTTAGATACTTTTAGAATGATCAGATAAGGAAGCATTGAGTACTTGAAAATGTGAAGACAGTTTAAATGTTAAAAGAGGATAAGGAAAAGATGAGTTTAAATATTCTGTCACGATTGGTGAGTTTGCAAAACCTTGGGGTCCAGCAGTTGGTGTTAAGGTGCTGGACTCTCACTTGGCCATCCACAGTTCGAGTCCCAGACCTGGCAGCTTGAGACTCAAGCTGGGTACTCATGTGTGCATGCTCAAAATTTCAGGAGGAGGATAGAGGCAAGGAGATTGTGGCAGGGCCATCCGCCTGGGGCTGATTTCTTGCTTTCTCTCTGTCTCTCTGTCTCTCCAGCAAGCGCATCCACCCTGTATTAAAAATCTCTCTCTTAAAAAAAATAAGGGGCCAGCAGGTGGCATGATGGTTGAGATGCTGGACTCCCACATGGCCGACCCTAGTTTGGGTCCCAGACAGGGAGCTTGCTTTCTCATTCTCTCTCTCTCTATCTCTCTCTGGTGAGTTTTTAAAAATAACAATGGTAAATAAAGTGGGTGATTCTTTAAAAAAAAAAAAAGAAAAGAAAAAATTAAAACTTAATCTTTAAAAACTCATAGGATTGGGACCAGCAGTTAGCTTAATGGCTATGTCGCTGAACTCCCATGTAGTCGACTACAATTTGAGTCCCAGACCCAGTGCCTTAAACTCACACCGGGCACATGTGCCTGTGTGCCCAAGATCCCGAGAGGAGAATGGAGGAGAAGGAATTGCAGCATGGCCATCTCCCCGGGGGGGTGATTTCTCGCTTTCTGTCTCTATGTCTCTGTCTTTCTGGGGAGCGCACACACCCTATAGCAAAAACCTCTCCAAAATAAAAAAAGATAAACTCATAGGATGAGAGGAGTACAGTGTAAGATGACAGGTGGTGGTATGATTTTGCTACTGCTGTTTAGTATTAATTTTATACCCTAGAAAATTAATAAATTATAAAATTATTATAGAAGGCTCAGCCTCTGTGTGCAGTCATTAACATACTGGACTGTAGAGATAGAAGCCACATGCCAACTGCAGTTCGCGTCTCCAGCCCAGTCAGACTGAGAGAACATACTGTGCTGAGAACTTGGTGGGCTGCAGAAATGGGATGACGGCATGACCAGGCCCTATGGGGGATGCTTCTCTCTCTCGTGCACATACGTGAACTCTGTCACAGGCTGGGGGAAGTCAGGGCAGAAAAAGACTGGATGTTAGGCCAAGTTAAGAATGGACAGAGAAAAGTTTTTAGTTTTACATAGTGTAGAGTATGGAAGAAATGATAGATATCTAATTTGCACTGTTAAATTTTAGATGGTCTGTCTTCTGCTGATCCCAGCTCTGATTGGAATGCACCAGCAGAAGAATGGGGGAACTGGGTAGACGAAGAAAGAGCTTCACTTCTGAAGTCCCAGGAACCAATTCTTGATGAACAAAAGGTGAGTATAAGGCATTGGTGGGTGTCTGCTAGTTAATGAAGGAGGCTGAGGAAGGAGCATTCTGGGTACACAGGCAGAGACAGCTGAGTGTCGAGGAGGCAGAGATCAGTAGCATTGGAAACAGCCAAGTGGTTAGTGACATTAGGTCTGAAAAGTACCATTTGATTTGCTTTCTGATAATTTAGAACAGTTTCATTACAAATCTTAGAATTGACAGCATATTGCAGTAAAGGGAGTGACTAAAGCATAAAAAGTAGAAATAACAAATAATACTTCTAAAATAAGTTTGGAAGGACCAGCAGGTGGTGTGGTTGGGGCAGTGGACTCCCACATGGCCTACTGCGGTTCAAGTCCTGGATCTGGCAGCTTGCTTTATCACTTTCTCTCTCTCTCTCGTGAGTGCATATATCCTATAGCAAAATTTGAAGACAATAATAATAAATTAAATAAGATAAATAATTTCTTTTAAAAAGTTTTTTAAAAATAAAGTAAATTTAGGTAGGAATGGAGGAAAAGGTAGTAGATGATAACATGTTATTACTGATCAGGAAAAGTTTTATTTTGGGGGGAGTGATGTATTTTAATGATACAGATTTTAGTACAGATTTGGCAAACTTTATGAAGAGTCCTATGTGGGAACTGGCAGGTGATATGGTGGTTAAGGTTCTGGACTCCCACATGGATGACCATTGTTCAAGTCCTGGACCTAGCAAGTTGCTTTCTCACTCACTCTGTTCAAATTGAATAATAATAATAACAAAATTAAAGAATTCTTTAAAAAATAAAGAAAGAAA